AAAATGTGTGCCCCGCCCGGATGATACACACAAACACTCACACACACACACACACAGAGAGAGAGAGAGAGAGAGAGAGAGAGAGAGAGAGAGAGAGAGAGAGAGAGAGAGAGAGAACCAAAGAGAGAAGCAACCTAGAACTAAAGAGAAACTTCCTGACAGTTAGAACAATTAAGCAGTGGAACTCCTTGCCTCCAGAAGCGGTGAATGCTCCAACACTGGAAGTTTTTAAGAAGAGACGGGACAGCCATTTGTCCAAAATGGTATAGGGTTACCTGCCTGAGCAGGGGGTTGGACTTGATGACCTCCAAGGTCCCTTCCAACTTTATCGTTATTATTATTATAAGGTGTGTGTATGGAAAGATTGCCATGAATGGTGTTCCGAACCGATGCACCGTCCGAAAACGGTTCCCTCTTTTGCCGGTTGGAAAAAATCTGTGTCCCCACACGGATGACACACACAAACACACACACACACAAACACACACACACAGAGAGAATGCAAGGTGTGTGTGTGGAAAGATTGCCACGAAGCGGTGTTCCGAACCGACCCACCGTCTGAAAACGATTCCTTCTTTTGCCAGTTGGAAAAAAATCTGTGCCCCCCCCCAGATCTCAAACACACACACACACACACACAAACAGACAAGCAAGGTGTGTGTGTGTGGAAAGATTGCCACGAAACGGTGTTCCGAACCGATGCACCATCCGAAAACGGTTCCCTCTTTTGCCGGTTGGAAAAAATCTGTGGCCCTGCACGGATGACACACACAAACACACACACAAAATGCAAGGTGTGTGTGTGGAAAGATTGCCACGAAGCGGTGTTCCGAACCGATACACTGTCCGAAAACGGTTCTCTCTTTTGCTGATTGCAAAAAAAAAAATCTGTGACCTGCCCCGGATGACACACACACACACACAACCAAGGTGTGTGTATGTGGGGGGGGCTTCTCAGAAAGGAAGAGGAACAGCTGCCCCACCCATTCTGACGAACTTCACGCAAGGGAGCATCAGGCCCTTAGTCAAAGACTCTGAAAAAAAACCAGCGGCTGTATTCGGGACAACGATATAAATTTGCTTTTTTTTCTTTTTTGCCAAAAGAAGAAGAAGAAGAAGAAGAAGGAAGAAGAAAGAAGAAGAAAGAAGAAGAAGAAGAAGAAGAAGAAGAAGAAGAAGAAGAAGAAAGAAAAAAGAAGGAAGAAGGAAGAAGAAGAAGAAGAAAGAAGAAGAAGAAGAAAGAAGAAGAAAGAAGAAAAGAAGGAAGAAGAAAGAAGAAAGAAGAAAGAAGAAGAAAGAAGAAAGAAGAAGAGAGAAGAAAGAGAGAAGAAGAAGAAGAAGAAGAAGAAGAAGAAGAAGAAGAAGAAGAAGAAGAAGAAGAAGAAGAAGAAGAAGAAGAAGAAGAAGGGGAATCATTCTCATTCATATTTTTGGCAGACCATCTGGGATGTTGATCCAAGCCGGTCACTTTCAATAACATGGAGGAATTTTAAGGATAAGCGACGTGTAAGGACACTACGACATGGGTGTAGGATAAGTTAAAACCTCTGAGAAGGGGGGGTGCACCCCCCCAGGACCCCCAAGAAACAGCCGGGGAGGGGGTCTGTCCTCCCACCACAGGTAAACAGCAAGAAGGTGGACCTCCATGAACCAGGTGAGCAGAGATAGGAGCAACCTTCAAAACCTGACTAAACTAACTTTGGAGACTCGAGGATCCCGTAGGTTGTGTGAATTTTGCAAAGTGAGTTAATTCCGGGTTCCGGGTGAACTTGGGAAAGAGAACCTCCAGCCTGGAGAGGGGTGTGTGTGTGTGTGTGTGTTCTCCCTTTGGTGGGATTGTGTTCAAGAAGCTGGACCCCCGGACGTCATGGTGGGCGGGGTTGGGCTGGATGACCTCAAGCGTTCCTTCCAACTTTAGGGCTCCACTTTTGTGAACCGAGTCCTCAAGTTGCAACAGTACATTTAGTAACCATTCAAAGTTACAAGGGCACGGGAAAAAAAGCGATTTTTCGAGGGAAACCATCGGAGGTTTGATGGGGCCGGTGGTGCACCGTATACAAACCAGGATGGTGAATCTGGGTTTAGCTTATTGTGTGAACCAGGACGCAAATTGCCTTTAGGCTCTCCCAGCTTAAGGTAAAAAGCTTTTTTTTTAAAATACTCCTCGACTTCTAAGTGACCATTTGCATTTACAATGTCTGCACTTACGACCGTTTCACCATGCCCGTGGTTTCGTGATCAAAATTCAGAGGCTAAGCAACTGGCATGTACTTATGATGGTTGCAAGTGTCACGTGATCCCCTTTTGCGACCTTCTGACACGCAAAGTCAATGGAAGGAAGCCAGATTCACTTAACAACCGGGTTACTCATTTAACAACTGCAGCGATTTGCTTCACGAGTGCGGCTCTCGGGAAATCCCAGTGGCGGTGAGTTGCACGGCTCCCAAGAGTCGCGCCCGCCCTCCTGAGGGCGGGGTTTCCTCTCCCTGAGCGGAGGAAAGGAGGCCACCCGGAACAGCATTGCACATTTCTTCAGCAAAAGCCCCTCTCCCCTTTGCTGAGGAATGTGCAAAGCTGCTCCGGGTGGCCTCCTTTCTCTCCGCCTCAGTTTTCTCGTCTGGCAAATGGGCCTAAGGCGGTTCTGGGGAGGCTAAAATTGCCGAGTGGCGCCCCTTCCTTGCAAGGTGCACTTAGGAACACAAAAGCCCCGCCTCCTTTTGTGTGCAGCTAATAATAGACGTTGACTAATTAAGGACCGACACACCTGCCAGTTTCTGTTTACGATGATTCTCAAGCCTCCCTGGGAAGACGGTTCTGCTCGGGCAGGAGCAGTCTATCTTAGCTGACAATCTTTGCATCTAGGTCTTCCCAAGCCCCCTCCCCGCTAAGCTTTCCATTTGGCTCAAATGCACAGGGAGTCCTGGACGTACGACCGCGACGGAGCCCACGACATTTCTGTGGTTAAGCGAGTTGGCGGCCAAGCGCCTTTTGCCCCACTTGACGACCGTCCTTGCCACCGCTCTTAAAGCGAATCGCTGCAGTTGAGGCGTTAGTAACCCGGTCGTTAAGCGAATTGGGCTTCCCCCGTTGACTTGGCTGGTTCAGAAGGTCGCGAAAAGAAGATCGCGTGACATCTCCCCCCCTCCCCCCCCACCGGGGACGCTGCGACCGTCACAAATACGAGTCCATGGCCAAGCGTCTGGATTTGGGTCAGGTGACCCTGCGGATGCTGCCACGGTTGCGTGAGTGTGAAAAACGGTCATTAAGTCACTCTTTTTACAGTGCGGTTGTAACTTTGAACGGTTGTTAAGTCGAGGACTGCTTGAAGTTTGGAAGCCACGAGGGTCCAACCCAGAGAATTCCCGGCCTCTGGAAGGGAGAGGGGAGGGGGGGCTGCCACAAAGATGCCCCCCCCCAATATTATCATCGCTGCCATCTTGACTTTCTTTACACAGCCCTGGATGTGATTCTCCATCCTATCCTATTGACCAAGTTGAATCCTAGAATTGAAAGGAACCCTTGAGGTCATCCAGCCCAACCCCACCCACCAAAGCATGCACAAGGGCTGGTGGACCAGCTTCTTCTTTCACCCAGTGCTGGAGGATGGCCAGCAGCATGATCTCGATCTCTCTCTCCTCTCTCTCTCTCTCTCTCTCTCTTTGACTCTCTCTGCCTCTCTCTCTTTCTCCCTCCCTCCCTCCCTCCCTCTCTTTCTTGCTCCGTCTCTCTCTCTCTCCCTCTCTCTGCCCCTCTTTGTTTGACTCTCTCCCTTTCTCTCTCTTTCTCTCTACCCCTCTCTCTCCCTCCCTTTCTCTCTGTTTGACTCTCTCCCTCTCTCTTTCTCTCTCTCTCTCTCTCTCTTTCTCTCTCTCTCTC